TGGAATACAAACAAGATACAGTCGGATTCACGAGCTTACCTGAGGGATGACTCCTGACAACAGCTCATGAGGCCACCTGGCATTGGCCTATCCGATGGCTCCGGAAGGCGTTCTGTCTTCCTTGTAAGTCTGCAGCCCTGAATGTAGCCGCCTTCCTTGTGCTAAGCGTTCAGATCATTTGAAGAAAGTGAGGAAGCCCTAAAAGACCTGTCAAAGGATGACCTGCTTAAGTAGTAATTAACTGTGCCAGAGAGGACTTAAAAATCTGATGCCAGGATGCTGGGCACTCCTACCCTTTCTATTCATAATCCACATTAAGTTTCTGGGCTGGTATTTTGAATTTATACTAATGTTCCCCAGTAAGATTCTTTTGTTCACACCATCAGGAAAATTGGCCTTCATTGAAGAAGAAAATATTAATATGTTAGACCTAGAAGCACTGAGCATGTCTGTATTTAATAAGTCAATGCCAGTTTCCTTAGTGGTTACCTTCCTGTCTCAATTATGGAGACATTACATTCATCAGTTCTCAAAATTGGCTATGCATCAGAATTATTTGATGCCTTTTAAAACCCCCAGATTTGGTAGGTATTGCGTGGGGCCTGAGAATTTGCATTTCTGACAAGTTCCCAGATGATGTTGATGATGGTGACCTAGGAAGCACACTTTGAGGACCACTATCCTAAACATTTGGTGATTTCTTCAATGACTTGCAATCGGGTTTTTAGTTTAGAACCCAAATGGGCTGGGTTTAAGAAAGATGATGGTGTCCAAGAAAGGTAGTAACTCCATGGATTTATTATTATTTTTTTATTATTTTAAATATATTTTTATTGATTTCAGAGATGAAGGAAGAGAGATAGATAGATAGAAACATCAGTGATGAGAGAGGATCATGGGTCAGCTGCCTCCTGCATACCCCGCACTGGGGACCGAGCCCACAACCTGGGCATGTACCCTGACTGAATAGACCCATGACCTCCTGGTTCTTAGGTCAATGCTCAACTACTGAGCCACACTGGTGGGGCTCAATGAATTTTTTAAAACGATTGCCATGTCTGGGTTTTGTTGGTCTGGGTCTGGCCAGCTATTTGGAGTTGGCTGGTTCCAAAGGCTGGAGTGTGTTACCATGGTAATATTCTTCCCCATGCGAAGGCCCCAGAGGTCGGTTTTTCACAACTGTCCATGTGTTTTTCTCATGGTTTTTCCCAGAGGGTGCTGCATCCGGGGTTCCATGCCATCACTCCTGGTTGGTGTTCCCAGGAAGCTGGGTACAGTAAGGAGGCTCCAGGCCCCCTCTTTACCCAGCCTTGTAAATGAAGTGAGCTTCCTTTGTCAATCCAGGGCCCAGCGTGCTGAGGGCAGTGGATTAGATTAAGCTCATGTGGGTACAGAGCAGAAGTGGTTGGTAGGGCATCCCGGCATCCCAAAGCTGTGGGGAAGGTGCTTTCCGTCCCTTCATCAGAAGCTCTTGCCCCGTGGAGCTGAGTCTGGATTCTCAGCTAGGGAAGGCACGCCTCTCCTTCAGCATTGAGCATGAAGGTTATTACCTCTCTGGATGCAGGGCATGGCAGAGATGTCTGGGCACGTGACTGCCGTGGGATTTCCTTGTTCTCCGCCAGGGTCCTCCTCGAAGGCCACACAGATACCCTGGTGTCCTTCCCTTAGGGTGTCCAGGTGGCCTCAGCTCCGCAAAGGACAGTTCAAGGTGCGGCTCTGCATGTGGTGTGTGGGGAGAATTCTGGTTGCTCTAGGCCCTCTCCTTTCCTGTGAGCATGTCTACAGGTGAGCTAGACCAACCATAGGATCCAGGTGTGAACATCAGGGGGCATCACAACCAATTTTTAAACGGGGGGCTCTTAAACATGCTCCACTGAAGTGTTTCTCTGGGACAACTTTCTGGTCACATCGGACCCGGTGCAGTGCTTTTGGTTACTCGTGTCTGCCTGAGAATGGAAGTGGAAGCTAGGACAGGCCTAGGACAGGTGCCGGACAGTGTTTCCCTGTTGGTCCAGGTTGATTAATGACACCTTGACTTTAGGAAGGCTTATTGCAAGTTTGTGGGACAGCCTTAGCGTGTTACTTCGGACCTACATACGACTCTCTCTTTGTGGTAGATACCACCTGGGGGCCCCGTCCCGTAGCCTGAGTGGACCAGAGGGCCCAGAGATAAGAGCAGATTCCTAACCGTCACCTGTTCACACTCAGTGGGTCTAGGGGGAAGAGATGGATGTTTGCAGTCCTGTATGTGACAAATGCCTGATGTCCATTCTCACATAATCCTTGGAACATCCAACTAGGACATTTTAGGCCCATTTCACAGGTGGGGAAACTGAGTTTCAAGAGGTCCAGAAGTGACCTGCCCAAGATCACAACCTGATTAGGGAGCACTTTCCAACTCACCTTTCTTAAAATACTGTCATCCACAAGATTTCCTTCTTCATTCCTTCCCACCAAAGTGTATCTCCGTTTTCCAGAAGTATCTGTAGCCTAAAACAATAGTATGAGCAGAGAGGCCTATTCACTTTTAAGCAGTTAAATCCAGTGTCCAGATTAATGACTTTTTATAAACTGAACAAGCCTAGGTAACCACCATCAGATCAAAAAATGGGAACCCAGTTATATTTTAATTCTTAAAGATTCTTTTGTTTGTTTTTGCCAATATGAACCCCTGGTTAGAAGTATCTTATAACTGACCTGTCATAACATTTGTGCCACCCAACTCTGACACAGCAATATTTGAAGATCCCCAAAATGCTGGGTAGTAACAAGTCAGCTAATGAATGAGTCTGTCACTGATAAGCCCTGTCTACAAATGGACCAGAACTATGGAGGGGGGCTTCAGATACCCCCAGGAAAGAGAGAACAATAACTGCTGAGAGGGTCTAGGAGCAGATGAATCGTGGAATTTAACAGCTCAATCTCATAAGTGGAGCTCAGAGAGGTTGAGGAGATTGCCTCCAATCTCACAACAAGGAAGCAGGACCAGCAAGTAGCTACCCACCCGCACTCACCTGCAAGTACACATGTGCACACACACACACACACACACACGCATGCGCGCGCGCACACACACACACACACACACACGCGCACACACACATGCGCATGCGCACGCGCACCCTAGATGCACACTGCTATCTGACAAGTCCCCGTTGAAATGGATCCTGACCAGGAAGGAAGCCATTGGCAGTACTGTCTGCGCAGGACCAGTGATGTCACCGCCCATGGTCACCAAACATTAGCTCTAGGGTTTGGTACCCTACACTTCAAATGCCCAGATGCCTTCCCTCCCTCCCCCATTTTGCTCTCAAATGGGTCACTAGCAACTCTGTTCACCCGCCATGGCATGTTGGGAAAGTTGCCAGATAAAACTAACCTCTGTCTGTGGCCAGAATATGCTGTGAGCAAGGATCCCGTTCAGCACAGCCTCTATTCCCCTCAGACTGCAGAGACCTCGGGACTAAGCCAGCGGTGCCGCTTCCCATCCACCTTACCGCCGGCGGGTCTGACAACCTCCCAGGCTTGTGGTGTGCAGCCCAAGCTAGGAGAGACTTGGCAAATGACATAGCACTGCTTAATGGCAATATTTACCCAGCAGCTCCTACGGGCTGGGTTGGTGCTGAGTGCTACACACGGATCTCATTTTTCCCCCTTGTAGCTCCTGGGAGAGGTTCTTCTGTTTCCCCCGTTTTCCAGATATAGGCTCGTAAGCTCAGAGAAGCTAAATAACTGCTCAGGGTCGCACAACCACTTAAATGATGGGGCCTTATTCACAGTAGGGAGTAGCTGGTCTAAACTACATGGCCTGGCTGCTGCTTGTAACCAGTCAGTCAGTCTGCTGTGCGCCCAGGATTGTCCTAGGTGCCGGGGAGAAGGCCGTGAGCCAGCAGGTGCAGCCTATACCCTCACAGAGCTGATGGTTCTGGAGCAGGATCCTCTGGGAAAGAACTGTCTTGGAAATTTGTGTTTCAGACAAAGACTTTCCCTCCAAATGGTGCCCCAGCTTCCTCTTTGTTTTTGAAGCCCCCTGAGACCTCCAAGCTTTTCCCTTGGGGAGATGTGGCTGAGAGCCAGGTGTGCCTGAGCCTGTGTGTAGCCTTTGCCCTGTGAATAAGAAACTTACTGAGCCGTCCGCTCCCTTAAAGCACCCGCCCATCCTCACATCCCCCAGCCTCACACCCTGCAGTCTCCCTCTTCCACCCTAGCCCTACTAATGGGGGAGGACAGGTGCTGGCCCAGAAGGTCCTCAGCTGAAGGACCCCATCTCCATCCTGGCACACCTTGTCGGGCGAGCTGACAGCACTCCTGCCAGACTGACAAGAAAGGGGGGCGGGGGGAGAGTGCGGCCACCCTGCTCACACGGCCCTGCCACCTCCACGTGGCCGCATGTCTGTTAGTCTCGACACCGCACACAAAGAGCCCGGGTGCTGTCGCTGGCACTCAGCCGCTGGAGTGGGGAGGGTGCGCTTGGTGAAAGCTTTTCTGAAAGGCCAGGGTGGAGGCGGGAGTCACCCAGGTGATCCACGCTGGTCCCCCGGGACCCCAGCCCAGGACCACAGTGAAAGGTTACCGCTAATTGGCGAGCTCCTGATGTGGCTGCATCTATTTAGCGCCCCCTCCCCAGAGACTTCCAGGATGCTCTTGGCACAGCGTGTGATTCGAGAGCTCCCGCCTGAGTCTGGCACAATCTGTCTGAAATGGTGAACACGGAGCCTCTCGGTTCTCTAATTTGTATTTTTGTTGTTGTCATTCCCTGCCCATTGTTCCTGGTAGATTTAGTAGCAGCAGCCACCCTGGTTCTGGTACACCTCTCCCCCCCCTCCCCATCCCTGTGGGCTCCTTCCACCCCTGGCCATCCCCCTCCATCTATCACCAGAGACCTTGCTGGGGTCAGAGAGCAGCACTGACCTGCCCCCGGCCCGCTGCCCATCCTGAGGGCACAGCTCTCACCCCGCCATCGTCCCTGACACTAACACAGCTTGTCCACCCTGTCGCAGGGGGCAGATGGCCTGTCGGAGCCGGAGGGCATCTCTCTGAAGCGGGTCGCTGTGGTGGAAGATTTCTTTGACATCATCTACTCAATGCATGTGGAGAGCTCAGCGGAGCCAGGCAAAGCCCCCAAGCACGCTGGGCAGAAGAAAACCTACCGAGCGGTGAGATTTCTGTCCCTTGCCTCTGCCGGCAGCCCCAGGCCTTGGCAGGAGGCCATGGGCTCCGCACATGTTGGGGGGGGGGGTGAGGGGGGAGGCGGGGCGGGGAGCTGAGGCGTGATGAAAGGCCTTTGGGGACCCAGGGGGGCACAGGGCAAGGGCATGGCAGCCAGAGATGGCTCACGGGGCAGGGGGCGGGTTCTGTGGTCTGAGCACAAAGGAGAAGCAGGTTGAAGGGAGTGAGAGGGAGGGGAAGAGAGGGCTGGGGGGAGGAGGGAAGCCTTTCTCTCCCCATTTCTGCTTTACACACACACACACACACACACACACACACACACACACACACCAGCCTTCACAGCCTACTCTGCCGCTCTGAGGGGCAGGGGTTGTGTGTGGCTAGATTATAATAATCATAAGGGCAAATGCTTCCATGGCATTTACTGTGTACCAGGCCTGTCCTGAGTGCTTTCTATGGGTGAGATTTTTTTTTTTTTTTATCCCCTACCGCCCTGTGGAGTCAGTATTGAGAGTTCCCCAGGAAAAGTCTGAGGACCTGGCCCCAGCCCCAAGGAAATCAGTTTGATTTGGGGTGGGGAGTTGTGAGAGAAAAACAAAAACAAAACAGAAATGTCTCCAAAACTAGGAGGGAACAAGAGCCTGGTTACCTGGGTGTTTAGCAAAGGTCCCTGCGGATACTGTGCTGAGCCAGGAGCTTCCTGAAGAAGGTGGATGGGAGCCAGCATGCTGAGCTGTGGGTAGGCAGAAGGGGGAGACAGCTCTATTGCTAAAGGAGAGGAGTGTCACACCTGGGGAGGTGGACGGGATGGGGGGGTGGACGGGATGGTGGGGGGTGGAAGGGATGGTGGGGGGTGGAAGGGATGGGGGGGAGGTGGAAGGGATGGGGGGGGTGGAAGGGATGGTGGGGAGGTGGAAGGGATGGGGGGAGGTGGACGGGATGGTGGGGGGGGAAGGGATGGTGGGGAGGTGGAAGGGATGGTGGGAGGTGGAAGGGATGGTGGGGGGGTGGAAGCGATGGTGGGGGTGGAAGGGATGGTGGGGGGTGGAAGCGATGGTGGGGGGTGGAAGGGATGGTGGGGAGGGGGAGAGGGATGGGGGGAGGTGGAAGGGATGGGGGGGGTGGAAGGGATGGTGGGGAGGTGGAAGGGATGGGGGGAGGTGGACGGGATGGTGGGGGGTGGAAGGGATGGTGGGGAGGTGGAAGGGATGGGGGGGTGGAAGAGATGGTGGGGAGGTGGAAGGGATGGGGGGGGTGGAAGGGATGGTGGGGAGGTGGAAGGGATGGGGGGGGTGGAAAGGATGTGGGGAGGTGGACGGGAGGGTGGGGGTTGCGGGGTGGGGTTGAAGGTTTGGGGGGAGGTGGACGGGATGGGGGGGTGGAAGGGATGGTGGGGAGGTGGAAGGATGGGGCGGTGGACGGGCTGGTGGGGAGGTTGGAGCGGGATGAGGGGGAGAAGGTGGACGGGATGGTGGGGGGTGGTGGAAGGGATGGTGGGGAGGTGGAAGGGATGGTGGGGAGGTGGAAGGGATGGGGGGGTGGAAGGGATGGTGGGGAGGTGGAAGGGATGGGGGGGGTGGAAGGGATGGTGGGGAGGTGGAAGGGATGGGGGGGGGTGGAAGGGATGGTGGGGAGGTGGAAGGGATGGGGGGGGTGGAAGGGATGGTGGGGAGGTAGACGGGATGGGGGGGAGGTGGACGGGATGGTGGGGAGGTGGAAGGGATGATGGGGAGGTGGACGGGATGATGGGGAGGTGGAAGGGATGGTGGGGGGTGGAAGGGATGGTGGGGAGGTGGAAGGGATGGTGGGGAGGTGGAAGGGATGATGGGGAGGTGGAAGGGATGATGGGGGGTGGAAGTGATGGTGGGGAGGTGGAAGGGATGGGGGGGGTGGAAGGGATGGGGGGAGGTGGACGGGATGGTGGGGAGGTGGAAGGGATGATGGGGGGGGTGGAAGGGATGGTGGGAGGTGGAAGGGATGGTGGGGAGGTGGAAGGGATGGTGGGGAGGTGGACGGGATGATGGGGAGGTGGACGGGATGATGGCCTGAGCTCAAGCACGAGGGATCTGCCTGTGTTCTGGTTCCATTTCCCTCTTGACGCCCATCACCATGGCTTATGCACAGCTTTGAACCGTTTGTCCAGTGCCCACCACTAAACCAGGAAAGCCAAGCTCTTTACCTTCATTTAAGGCTGACAGCCATCCTGTGATGGGCTGTGGTCCCATTTCAGTCAAGGAAACTGAGACCCAGAGAGTCAAGCTACTTGTCTTGCGTGGTAGTCAGCCAGTGTCCTCAGGCCCCATCTGTGTTGGCTTTCTCATTGTTTTCCTAGAGACCTGCCCTCTGGCTGCCTCACCCAGGGCAGACTGACACCCCTCCACCCCAAGTTCTTTGTGTAGGTAGCCTTGGACTGCAGTGGAGGTGGCCTGTGTAAGTCTATAATTTTTCCATAAGGCCTGATTTTTTAAAAACCCAACCATCTGCTCTGGCTGGATGGCTCAGCTGGTTGGAGCGCTGTCCCATACACCAAAAGGCTGCGAGTTCAGGGGAGCACACAGGAGGCAACTCATCTATATTTTCCTCACATCTTTGTTTCTCTCTCTCCCTCTTTTTCTCTCTCCCTCTTTCTCCCTTCCCTACCTTCCTCCCTGTCTCCCTTCTTCTCTCTAAAATCAATAAAAACATATCTTCTGGTGAGGATTTAAAAAAAAAAAAAAAATCAAGCCCTAGCCAGTTGTTCAGTGGTCAGAGCATCCGCTTGTGGACTGAAGGATCTCGGGTCTGATTCCCGGTGACAGACACATACCTCAGTTGCAGGTTCAATCCCTGGCTCCTATTGGGGCGTGAGGGAAAGACAACAAATAGCTGTGTCTCTAACACATTGATGTTCCCCTCCACTCTCTGTCTTTCCCTTCCTTCCCTCCCCTGTCCCTTCCACTCTCTGAAAATCAAGAAAAAATATCCTTACTTCTCAGGTGAGGATGAAAGAAAAAGAAAAGAAAATCCAACCATCTGCTGTGTCCTTGTCCTCAGAAGATGGCCTTTGCCCTAAACGAGTCTTAAGGAGGGACCCTTGTGCCAAGGACCTTAGAGAGATGAGGTTCAGGTTGAGGGAAGCAGATTATTATACACCTGGCCCGCCTTTCCTGCCATGTGGGAAAGTGGTGGGCAGGGAGTCATGAGGGTATTTCCACCAGAGGGCCATGGGCAAAGGGAGGGCCAGCCTGGGGCCAATGTGGTAGCGATGAGACCAGCACATTTGCTCAGCATTAAACTTGCCAGTGCTGGGCTGGTGGCACGTGCCAGGCCCTGTGCCCAGCACTGACCATCACCAGCTCTTGGTGCTGTTACCCCCATTTTACAGATTAGGAAAATGGAGCCTAGAGAGACGTATAATCTGCCTGAGGCCACCCAGTTGACATGCAGAGCAAAGTAGCTGGCCCCAGAGCCTGCACTCTGAGCTCTACACAGCCTACCTTTCTACAACCCCTGTGGGCAGCTAGTAAGGCCAACGACTTGCTGTTGTCCAGGTAGATGGGCTTGAGCCAGCCAGACCATGTGATTTCCTGGGTCCCCTTGGTGTCCAGCACCAGGCCTCACCTGCAGGCCCCCCTAGAGATTTAGGAAGGCCAGGGGCTGTGGGCTCCATGCTGTGGAGAGGGCAGAGCCAGGCTGGCATTGGCAGCATTTGCGTCCCTGGGCCAAGCGGCCGTCCAGGCTTTGCTCTGCATTTCCTGGCTTCTCGGCCATATGCCCGCCGCGTGCCCCACTTCCCGCTGCCCAGCCTGGAGCTGGCACATGACTGGCGGCGAGCCAGCTGGGCTGCGCGCAGAGCTGGAATTTCAGCAGCAGGGCCAGCGCTGAGGGGAACAGGCCAGGGCCCTCCTGCAGCGGGTGTGAGGCCAAGGAGGCCGCCGTACCTCCCTCCTCCCGTGTGTCTCCTCTCCCTTCCCCCTCTCCCCCATCTGTCACCCTTCTCCGTGCCACCCTTTCCCTTCTGGGGGTGGGGGTGGTGCCTGGATGTTTTTGTCCCCCTCGTTTCATCTGCCATTTCTTCAATCCAAGCCTAACTCTTCAGGCTCACTCGTGCTCATGCCCTGCCCGCCCCCCCCCCCCCGGACCTGTGGACGGGGAGCTCCCAGGAAAGTCGGTGCTGCTGGCTGCAGAGAGGACAGCCTGGCACCACAGGGTTGGTGCCAGGCTCTTGGCTGAGATGTTTGGGGACCTGTCTCTCTGTGTTTTGCCAAACCTGAATCCTGGGACTGCCTTATCTCCAGGGCAACTGGGACTTCCGGATCCTTACAGGCCTGGGGTGCCTGCGGGAGGCGGGGGACTGGAGAGGAGATGGGTCAGCTTGTTCAGGGCATTGAAAGAGGCGTATTCTTCAGAGGGAAAAATAACTTTCTAGCACCGACCACTGTTCAACAGTGGATCAGGATCAGATACTGAGCTTTCTGAGGCTGGAGGTATATGAGCAAAGAGTAGATAGCCATTTATAAGGGTTAATACAGGGAATTAGGGTACGAAGCCCGGCCTTACTTTTTGCCTCTGATGCCTTGTGACTTGAGGGCCAGAGGACCCCCAGGAGGTCTTGCCAATGCCGGGGCCTGGGGAGGTTTCCAAGCGGTCCTACCCAGTTCCCTGCACCCACGCTGAGGACTGGTCCCTTCCCAGGGGCTCTCCTGGAGCCTGCACCCATCTGGGTTAGTGTGAACCCATTTGCTTCCTCCCTCGCCCCCAGGATGCTGGTCGGCTAGGTCAGCTTCCAGAATCCGGGTCTGGATGCCCAGACTACTTTGGAGTTGGGGCCAGGTGTGGTCAGTAGCTACTCCAGGTCCACAATGTGCTAATCCACCCGCAGGGCAGAAGGAGGATCTTGTAAAGTGGTGCAAATCCCCCCGATTGGCCTCATCTGTCTCTGTCGGCCTCCGAGTTGGGGAGCGAAAATGGAGCCTTACAAGTCAGCGACTCTGTAAATAGCTTCTGCTCTTCCTGCCAGCAAAATCTCTCTTGGTTTTTATCACTAGGAAAAACTAAGAGGCAAACTCACGTGTAAGTGCCGGGGTCCATGCAGAAGGCCCCGAGGAGAGCAAGGCAGCAGCCCCCACGGCAGCAGAGGGAAGCTAGGTAGAGACAGGGGTCCTGGAGCTTCCCTTAAACACGGCCGCTCTATCTTTATCTGTTTCATGTTTTGGACCTCAGCGTAAGAGTCTATTTCCAGAACAGTGCCGGTAGCTCTAAAACTATCTGAAAACCACCATCCTACCGACTAGAACAACCGCTGGGATTGTCCTTCTCGTTTTAACTCCACCTGTGATCCTGTGGCCTTGGACGTCTGTGCATCGAACAGAAATGGTGGTTCCATTTCTCACATGCACAAGCCAGGAGGGTGCACCAAAGGATGCCCGCTGGGGGGAGCATCCTCCGTGCAGGTCCCCACAGCAGTGCAGAGCTGGGCTGACTCCCCAGGGAGCTCTTAGCAAGGCTACAGACATTCTAGCCATGCAAGACTGGACAGGGCTTCCTCCCTGGTCTTCAGACAGCTCCTAGGACCTCTCACCTATCTGCCTCGGGCCAACCCCTCCTCCCCCTGTGGAACGCAGGGTCAAAGGGCGATGTACCAGCACCCTTCCTTCATGTGGCACTCCAGCTAGCCTTTGCATGCTGCTGGGTCTGCGAGGCCAGGGGAGCTGGGGCCACCATTCTGACCTGTGTCAGAACCCTCTCTGGAAACCATTCCTGTACGCAGCGGGCCAGCGGACAGCCCTCAGCAGAACAGCCAGGTCAGGAAGGCCCTCGCCGAGCCATGTAAAAAATGGTGTCAGTGGCAGTGAGCTCCGTGTGGAGAAGTAGGGCTGTCCCTACGGTATGAACCTCCCTTCATTTCCCCAGGAGACTGCAAGCCTCCTCCCCAAGTCCTCTGTTCAGCCATTCTGAGGTCTGGCCAGGAATACCATGCCTCGGGGCACCTGTAGGGTCATCTGGTTGGCCCAAGTTAGCCATAGCCCTCTGCTTTACTCCGGTAGCCACTAGCCCTTCAGCAAGGCCCACCCCTCCCAACGCTGCAGGCCCAAGAGGGATTCTTCCCCTAAGACTTCCCAGCAGCTTTGGGCTGGGATGAAGATGTGCCTGTGGGTGGCAGGGAAGCTCCATCTCTCAGCCCTTACATCTAAGCAGGACTGGTGTGTGGCTGACCATCACCTTCCCATCCACCAGCTCCAGTCAGAGACTAGGGTTTTGCCCTTGTCCCTGACCTCCAAAGAAAGGCAATCAGACAGGGAATTTGGAAGGGAGATAACTCATCAAGAAGCCTGCCTGCTCCGCAGAGCATCAAATCAGCTGAGAAATAACAATTGTGTCACCAAAATTAACTCTGCTTTTGCAGCCAGCTGCCAGGCAGGAGTGGTCCCTGGTGCTCCACAGGCTGGCTGAGCTGGGAGCACAACGGAGCTGGTCCTCTCAGGGCCTGGCTGCAGCTTGGGGTGCCCTGGACCTCCTATATCCCCACCTCCACCTCATCCATCCACTCCGCCCTACCTTACCCAGCCCCCTGGCCACCACAGAGATGGAGCAGGGGCGTTTGTGCATCCCAAAGGAGCAGCTGGGCCAACTTTCCCAGCTGGGTAGCAGCGAGGACTGTGGAATGCTGGATCGATGCTGCCCCTTAGTGGAGAAGAGTGGGAGGGCCTGGGCTCTGGGAAATGGGCAAAAACCAGCAACTGGGCAGCTATGGGCCTCAGCCAAGAAACCTGGGCCTCAGAAACCCTTCTGGGCCCCTCAGGCGGCCAAACCAGGGCCAGTAGGTTTCCCAAAACCCAGAGCAAGAAGAGAGGGGCGGACCAAGGAGCCCACTTTCCCCATTCCCCCACCCAGCTTCTTTCTTGTGTTCTCTCCCATGCGTCCCTCCACCCCCCACCCTCCTTCTCTTCTCCACAGCTGGGGGAGGCCCTCTGGAGGCAGGTATGGGGTGGTGTGACCTGAAACATGGGCATTGCATTGCCTCTAAAGAGCTGTGTGGCCTTAGGACAATAGGTTCGCCTCTCTGGGCCTCATGACCTAACTTGGAACATGGGGGCACTAAGAGTCTGTCCTGTTTGAAAAATCTGATCCCTCGGCATTAGCCTTTCACAGCTCTCCCTAAAAAGGTTCTGAATCCGTGAGTTGTTGCAGCAAATAGCTTGTAGAACCTTGGGTTCTGGTCACAGGCCTGGAGCCTGTAGATTTATTAATGGGTCTCAGTTTATCCATCTCCAGGAGGGGAAATAGTTTCATTCTACCCTAGAGCGATGTTCATGAGCTCATTTTTCAGTAAGGGTAGTGAAATGTTCTGAGAGGAATATTTCTAGAATATAGGTTAAAGACTAAATAATGTTTAAATGCTTTGCTTTTTTCATTTTATTCAAATTTGAAAAACAAAGTTTCTGCAGAAGTACTGACTCATTTCCATGGCTGAGAATCGAGGACACCTGCCCCTTGCTCCTCAAATCCCTGCCCTTCCTGGCAAGGGCCGAGTGCCTGCCACCAAGTGCAAGCACATCCCTTGCTGACCGGTGACTAAGCAGCTCCCCTCGGGTCCATATAACAACGAGCCTCCTCTCTCCCCAGATTGCAGAGACATACGCCTTCCTTCCACGAGAGGCTGTGACCCGGTTCCTGATGAGCTGCACTGAGTGTCAGAAGAGGATGCACTTTAATTCCAACGGCCTGGAGCCCAAAGGTAGGGGAGGAGGTGGCGTGCTGGAGGCTGGCCAGCGGGAGGCTGTGCAGGGAGAGGCTCTCCCCAGAAGGGCCGGCACAGACAGCAGTTGTCACAATTCCCAGAGGCTGCTGTGGGTCCATGGGGCTGCCCAGAGAGCCTTATTTTATATTTGTTTGTTTGTTTTGTTAACCCTCACCCAAGGGTATTTTCCCATTGGTTTTTAGAGAGAGTGCGGGGCGGGGAGGAGACAGAGAGAAAGAAACACTGATGTGAGAGAGACACATCAATTGGTTGCCTCCCGGATAGAGCCTGCCACTGAGGTGCATGCCCTTGACCAGAATTGAACCCAGGGCCCTTCAGTCCATGGGATGATGCTCTATCCACTGAGCCAAACTGGATAGGGCTGTTGTTGTTTTTAAAGGCAAGTTTCACTGAAAAACAAATAGTACATCCCTACTGCCCTTCTTGGCCCAGGCCCCAGTTCTCCCACGAGGCTCCGCTCGCCTGCCCCGTTCGCTAAGCTCTGTGATTCTTGCCGCCCGGGTCTCACCCTCAGCAGTGCCCCGTGGGTTTGGGCTTGTGAGCTCTGGGAGGACAGGAGCACAGCCCTGCCCTGTAGCCACCTAACTGCCAGGAGCAGACCCACCCTAAGTGTTTGTCTCTCCTTGTGTACAAATCAGAAATCAAGGGGGATTGGTTAGGATTTAAAACGCCCAAAGCACTTGTGACCAGCCAATGTTGGGCCCTTAGACCGACATCCATGGTCTCCAGCTCTGCCCACACAGTGAGATGTAGCAAAGACCCCCAGGTTAGTCCCCCACACAGGCCTAATGCGAACATCCCAGAGGCCCCCAGGGAGTCTCAGGCCCATCTGTCCACAGGGGGCGCAGGCCCAGTGAGATGGGCCAGTACATTTGACGGATGTGGCATAACTTGCCTTGAGATACAGGGCCCACGTGTGGCAGTTATCAGGGCTTCTGGGCTGCTCCTGGGTGTCAGGCCTGCAAAGGTTGCCGCAGCCCATGGCTGTTTTGCCTGGGGAAGGGAACAGACTCAGAATGCGGGGTGAGCAGTTTACTCAGGTGCCACCCTACAAGCCTGGAAAGGGAAAACCAACAACGAAGCCCAAACAGGTGACCACAGAGGGCCCGGAGCGCCAGAGTCGAGTAGGGTTTCCCTCATTTTGGTTGTCCCTAAGGCATGAACATCGGGGACAATTTCTGACACCAGCCAGCTCTTCGGGTGCAGAGGCGTTCCTGCCCAGAGGGGAGGGGGTTGGCAGACCACAGCTGCTGCAGCCAGTACGTCAGACAGCTCCCAAAGCTGGAGGGACAGGAACAAATCTAGCTAATCCCTCATAAACGCCGGGCTCCTGGTTTAAGAGCAGCGCCTCCGGGCCACACTGGATGGGTTAAATAAAAGCTCAGCTCTGCAGCTCAGCAGAGGTGTGTCCTGGACAGGTGACTTCGTCTCTCTGAGTCTCAGCTCCTCGGGTGTAAAATGGGGTTAATCATGGCAGTCGCCTCGGGAGCTGATGAGGATGAGGGTCCATTTCAGTGCCTGGCGCAGGCAGGCCCGGGAGGGGTGGCCTGTGGCTGCTGCCGTGACTGTGATAACCCTGGTGCTGGAGTGAGGCCCTGCCCCACGTGGCCTGGCCCGGCCGACTGGCTGTCACCCCTGGGCCCAGGCAGCCCTTGGTGCCTAGAGATGGTACTAGAAGGGCTTTCCCTGCTGCACTCCCCACCCCTCCCGGGCCTGCGTCCCAGGGGTGCCCACCCATCCACCTGTCCTCTCCTGTTCTGGCCTAATTGTTTCCATAGCAACTGGAGTAGGCAGACACAGAATCTGTTCGCCTGGGGGAACAGAGGCAAGGCCAAGAGGGGCCTTTTGTGGGCTGCTCCGGTATCTGCAGGCTCCATCTCTGCTGCCCCCTCGCTCTCTGCTGGGGCGGAGAACAGCCTCACCTCCCCCAGTCCTCAGAGAAGGCCGTTCCACGCCTCATCTGTGGGCTTCCGCATGGCTGGGAGGGCGATGCTAGCACAGCAGCAGCCTGTTTTTTTCATAGCTGCCATCACCGTGCCTCCACCCCAGGGGAGGAGGAAGGGGAGGAGGGAGGGAGGGAGCACACAGCCCGGAAGGAGCCGCCTAGAATATAAACCAGCTCTGTGGGCTCCGGCTGGAGCCTCTCTTTCCAGGGGCTTGCTCCAGGCAGGATCGAGGGCAGACAGAGTGGGGCTGTGCCTGCCTCATCCTTGCTTGTCCTTGGATGGAACGCCGCTCCTTTGTCCCCGGGAGCCGAGCTCTCCAGGCAGGGAGAACGGCAGACACAGGAGGCAGGGTTCGGGCGCCCATGGAGGGGCGTGAGCTCGGCCTTGCCTCCGTTCCCCCAGGCGAGCAGGTCTGTACCTGACTACTCAGTTGCTGTGGAAGCAGTTAGGACGGAACGGGAGGGCACAGGTGGGTGAGGGGGCAGGGTGAGGAGTGCAGCAGGGAACTCTGCTTCCTGCTGGGGGCCCCTCGGCAGGGTAGAGGGCCTCTCTGAACCTCGCCCGCTCAGCACAGCTCCCAGGAGCCTCTGAGGCATCTGTCCCGGTTCACAGCTGAGGGAAGGAGGCACGGAGGGGTGTCATGGTGAAATCACTTGTCCAAGGTCCCCTGAAGGCAAGATGATTTATCTTCTCATCAGCACTCCCCTCTTGGGCTATTGTAAGGACTCCGCGGAATTAAACAACCGTGATCTGTAGGGCGCCTGGTACAGTGGGAGCATCAGCCTGTACCCCGTGTTGTTACACATGGAACCCAGACACAAGACTGCCAGCGTCCAGGTGGTCCCCCAGGGAGACACCCAATCAGTCACCCCACCCGGGTGGGCACCCTGGGCCCACAGCCTGGACGCTGGGCAAAGGGAAGGAAGGGGTTTTGTTTCTGGCAGCGGCCAGAGGAGAGTCTTAGGCTCTGAAAAGCTTCCCTGTCTGCTTAACAGCCAGAGGCATTAGCCGCCTGGACCACCCTGACCAGCTGGCACGTTCTTCTTTCTCCTGCCCCGGCTGAGAGCCTGGGATCCTATCTCTGCCCGCCATGCTGGCCTCTCTGGATGCAGTCATACCCCTTTCACAGGCGCCCCTGCCAGGCCAGCCCTGCCTCCTCCCTCTCCCACCCGCCCACAGGGAAATCAGAGCCTGCATCTGGCCACAGAGGCCAGCCCTGTGTTCCTGTCCCAGGAAGGTGGGGCCGGAGGGGCACAGGGAACAGGATGGAGAGTGCTTGAGGGGCTGCTGGGAGAATGCCTCGCATCCTGGCCGAGTGTTAAAAAGAAAGAAAGGAAGCAGCGCAGCCTTCCCTGCTCAGCAGTTTGTCCCCGGCCAAGCATGGGGGCCTGGACAGTCCCAGGTCCTCCCCCAGCACCAGAAGCACAAACAAAGGAGGCTGCTGAGGATCAGGAAGTCCGAGGATGGGAAATTCCAGGGCCGCCCGACTCCACGCTCTTCTCCTACCAGCTCCTGAGCAAGTCCAGGTGGAGAGGAGACAGAAAATGAAAACCGGTCTCTGGGGGCACGTTTCTGTTTCCCCTGACGTGACAAAATATTGTTTGTGTGGCTGAGACGCGGAGTTAGCAGTGGGCAGTGCCAGGTACCTACAGGAAGGCTCCTTCCTCCGTGACAGCGTCTCCACGCAGAAGAAGGCTGCTCTGCGACCGGGCCAGACTCCTCCGTGTGGCTCCCAACGCCGCGGGTCTGGCTCCCCCGGGTGCCCCGCTCCCAGCCCGGTCTGCGCCTGCGCAGAGGCTCCGGGCCGGCCTGCCCTCCCCGGCTCTCATCCTCACGTGCTGGGGGGCATGGGAGATTGCCCAGCCTCTCCACGTGCTGTTGACTCTCCTGTAAAAGGGGGCATTAATGCCGGTGCCCACCACAGGGAGCTCTTGGGAGCATCCAGCAGAAGAGCCTGTGTGGAGCCCCCGGCGAGTGCTCATGGCTGTGAGCTGAGTGAACACAAGTCCCGTTCAGACCCTCTCTCCACAGAGCCGCCATGAGTTCCTTCTCCTCTGAGCTCGGATGGACTGGCCAGCAGTCCCACCCTAGACCCATGACAGGCTGGCTCGTCTCAGGGCTCCTGTATGCCATGTCCTTCAACACCCACCCGGCCTGGAACAGCTCTTGCCACCAGCTCCCAGAACCACTCCTTACGCGAAGCTCATGAGAACTTCAGGAGAAATCTGCACTGATTAATGGATGCCATTGAGGCCCGGCTGTGGAGGTCAGCGCTCAGCTCGGCCTGTGTGGCTTGGCCTCGCTAAAACCTCTGCATCGCTGGTTATTTTCAAGGCCTGTAACACTCGGCCTTGCGCGTGGGCTGGTTTCAGTTTTCCTTGGCAAGGAGGTGTTGAAACGTTCCTTTGGGTGGTTCCTCTGCCTCTCTCACCAGCAGCCTGCCGGATTATTTCGGCTCCGTGACCCTTGCTAGCTCCTAACTCACCGGTGGGGTCGGATTATTCGCGGTGGCTGGAGCACGGCCACTGTGTGTGTCAATCACAGCAGGGGCCTGTCCCGTCTCAGCAGAGCCCCGGAAGCCGCTTGTCCTCCTTCATGTGTCCGTCTCAGCTCATCCCCCATCCTGGCATTTATCTCACCTGTGAGCGCCTGACCCCTCCACAGAGCTCCCCTGGCCCCGGCTCCTTATCTCCCTCCCACTGAGCTGGTCCTCGCTGTGGGGGCATTTGTCACCTCCAGAGCCACGGGGCTCCCCACTGTTCTGTGCTGTGGCTGAGCTCTGACCTCCCACAGCCGGCTCCCTGGCGCACTCCCTCACCTGGAATGTCCCCTGCCCGCCAAGGTCCCGCCTCCCCCACAGAGCTCTCCCTTCTGGAACTGCAGACGTGAGCATTTCCCTGCATACTGACCTCTGATGGGTGTGTGTGTGTGTGTGTGTGTGTGTGCTTCCGGATGTCCCAGCTTTTCCAGCCAAGGGCTCCTGCCTCTCCTTTGTGAGCCCTCCAGGCTCAGCTCTGGGCAGCAGAAGCAGTTTCTGGTCTGTGGACACGCCGGGAGGGAGCAGGCCAAGGAAGACCCCGTCTTCAGCCTTCCATAGTGCCATCCCAGCTATTGCTTTTTTTGTTCTAACCAAGCTGTGTCTGACTTCATTAAAGAGACCTTCTCATGAGCAGCTGTGGCATCTCAGGATGGCCAAACACTGAATCTCCGTGACACGGGGTGCGGCCTGCACTTGCGGCCCTGGCCAGGGACCCTTCTCACACCCCATATTGTCCAACAGCTCTTTACCAGAAACCCCGTCTTTGAGGAAACGAAATGGAAATGGCAGAATTCTTCCTCCTAAGACCCATGATCTGACAACGGGAGCCACGGCTCTTTTGAGTGACACCATCTCAGTGTCGTCGCTGGACTGTCTGCCCCACATACTGTATCCCTCCCTCCCCCCGTCACATTTGGGGGGCCAGGCCGTCTGGGTTGACGGTGGGACAGCAAGGAGAAGAGGCTGTGAGGACCCTGGAACAACGCCAGTCCCCCACAGCACCGGTCTGTGTCAAAGGGTCCTGTGCATCCGTGTCAGAGAGCCCTTCCGCCACCAAACCAAGAAGAATTCTATGGGAAAAAGTTCGATCCGTTCAAATTTCTGAGACATTCTATGTTAGTGACATTTACCTCTTCCTCGAAAACAAAAATCCTCATCAAAGAACACAAAAGCGGACCCTAGCCGGTTCTGCTCAATGAGTAGAGCATTGGCCTGCAGACCAAAGGGTCCCGGGTTCAATTCCGGTCAAGGGCACACATCTTGGCTTGCAGGCTCCTCCCTGGCCAGGGCCCTGGTCAGGAATGTCCATGTTCTTCTTTCACATCGACGTTTCTCTCTGTCTTTTCCTCTCTCTTCCACTCTCTCCAAAAGATCAAATGGAAAAATATGCTCAGGTGAGGATTAAAAAAAACAAAACAAAACAAAACAAAAACACACACACACACAAAAATTATGTGTGTGACAACATAGCTTTAAAAAGCTAAACAAAGCTCTTCATTTTTGTAAAATTTGGTAAGAAATGTGATTTAGGCTGTGTGGTCACACGGCCTCAAAATAGACCCTAGTCTCCAGCCCCCGCTGGCACGGACCCCGTTTTCTGCCGGCCTTTCTGTCCTGGCCAGTGAGGAGCCTCCCTCTCCCCTTCATGTCCCTCCCCCTTGTTCGCAGGGGCCTTCCTTTCCATGTTCCGGTAAAATATAATGTAAAGCTAGCCATTTTAATAATTTTAAGTGTACAATTTAGTGGCATTAGTTCTTTTCAGGTGATTGAGCAACTATCACCACTATCTATTTCCAAAACCTTTTCATCACCCCAAACAAACTGTACCCATGAAGCAATAACTCCCCATCCCCACCCCCCTTCCTAGTAACCTCAATCCTACTTTCTCTGACTGTGTCTGCTCTAGATACTCCATCGAAGTGGAACCACACAGTCATTGTCCTTTTGTGTCGGCTTTTCACTCAGCGTAGTGTTTTCAAGCTTACACTGGCCTGGGCTCCGGCACTTAAGCAGCAGGTTTAGCAAATCACCGTGGACATCCTCTGCATTCTGCCACCTGGGCCCTGTCCCTTGCTTCCGCTTCACCCCATCTCTTGGTGGTGGCGATGGTGGAGTGCAGGCTTCGGCCAGTCCCAGTGTTGTTCATACACTCGAGTCCCAGGTCATGAACAGAATGGGCACCAGGGAGAACTCTGGCCTGGAGTTCTGGAGGCAGGAGCTGGAGGCCAGAGAACAGGTATCCCAAACTGTTGCCTCAGGGGGAGGGTAAAAGCAGGGTCACTAAATAAGATGGGTCCCAGCAGGTGGCTCCAGGCCTTCATGCTTGGTCATAGCAAAAACATCCTTAGAGGGACTCGGGCTGGGAGAAGTGATGGGCTCTCTTTTCATCTTGCTTCCTATCTTCCTTGACTTACTTTCATCTGCCCCTGGTGCCACCCACAGGGCTACCTAAGGTGCAGAACGGGGGCCGTGTCCATTGACTGGATTTCCCATGGCAGCAGCCTTTGAAGAAGGCAGCTCGGCCAGAGATTTTAGAGTTACCGAATATTCCTGCCCTTCAACCCATGAGTTCCATTTCTTGGAATTTGTTTTTAAAAGAAAATGATGAGAAATTTGGGACAATATGTTTCTTCCAACGTTGTTTATAATTGTCAACAATGGGAAACAACATAAATAGTCATTCATAAGGGAATCACTTAAATAAACTATGGTAAAATAGTACACAGCTATAAAAATTACATTTGTAAAGCAAAGCAAGATTTTTTTATTTTTCATTTTTGTTAATCCTCATCCAAGGATATTTTTCCATTGATTTTTAGGGAGAGTGAAAGAGAGAGGGAAAGACAGAGAGAATCATCGATGTGAGAGAAACACATCAATTGGTTGCCTCCTGCACACACCCCAACCAGGGGCTGGGCCGGGGAGGAGCCTGCAACCAAGGTATGTGCCCTCGACTGGAATCAAACCCGTTGGTCTGCAGGCTCTATCCACTGTGCCAAACCGGACAGGGCCAAAACAAGATTTTTGGTCGTGAAGGAAATGCCTATGACACAATGTTAAACACACACACACACAAAAAAAAAAAATTAAAGCAAACTATAATATTCTGTGTGCATTCTGATATCAAGGGCATGAAGAAGAGAAATCACGGGGAGGGGTGGCCTGTGGTGGAATAAACAGAAGCATATGCCAAGCTGCTTAATGCAATTATGGTTTTTTTTCCTTTTTTCTTCACATCTTTCCACACTTTGCAAATGCTCTACAAAAAAAGAACACACATTACTTTGATCTTTAGGACAACAAAGCAATAAATGGGAGGAACAATGTTCCATGTGATAAAGGAGGAACCAGAATTTTGGGGGTGGAGGCCCAGAGCTGTGAGCCATATGGTACCTGACGGGGCTGTGGGGGGTGCGGTGCGGGTAGGAGATGGGCGGGTGGCGGCAGCATGTGTGCACCACGAACGAGAGAGCAGCTTAGCTCGAGGTTGGAGACATCAATGCCTTCAGGGGCCTGGCCAATGTCATAACTGAGTGAAAGTGTGCAAAACACTAGGGAGCGGTGGGGACTGTGGCAAAACGGAGAGCTCCCCCCCCTGTAAAAGCAGTGGCTGCTGCACAGCTGCAGTGGTTGTTCCTCGAGTGGGGATACGGGCCCAGGGTGACCAGACCTTCCGTTTTTCAAAGCCAACCATCCCCGCGTTTTAAAATGTGAACTCTCCTATTAAACACTGGCACCTCAGTCCACATCCGCGGGCCAGTCCCGGTGGAGGAGCTGCCGTCTGTGGCCTCGGGCCGTTCCCTCCTTCTCTGTGTGGGTGACAGGGTGAGCTGCCCCGTGGCCCGCCGCTCAGACTGAAAGGAGTTCCCTTTGTTCTTCCTGCCAGAAAACGAGCCTCCCTCTCCTCTGGTCTCCGGGATCATTGACTACAACATGCCCCTCACCTCCACGTACCTGAAGCAGATGAAGTTGCGCGTGATGAATTCCCAGGAGCAGGTAAGCCTTCCGTCCGTCCGCCCGTCCATCGTCCGTCCGTCTCCCCTCACCCCACCCGGAAGCGTCCTGACTTGCCTGGATGTGGCCGATCCTTCCCAAGATGTGGGGCCACAGCCTGTGTAAACACACTGGAAATCAAAGAGGCCCTTATCTGGTTATCTGGGCCGAGAGGGGAGGGGAGGAATGTGTTCCTAGTTAAAGGGTCTGCCCTGCGGGGTCTTGAGTGAAACCCAGGGAGCTCACGCTTCACAAAACTCTCCCCAAGGGCAGGCAGGGAGGGGAGGCGGTGAGCTGCAGACCTTGGCTCTGGGGTGGTTCTGTCTCTGCTCTGCCCTTTGTCTGCGACTCCTTTCCCCAGGGAGACGAAGGAGGAGGGGCCCTGCCTGCCAGCCTGTGGCCTCTGTCACTCTTGGGGCCCAGACAGGCCAGGAGGATGGGCCCTGGCTGGTGGCCCGAGTAAGATAAGGCCCCTGGCTGTCCAAGGCTCCCCAGCTGTGGATTGCCAAGGGCTGTCAGGCACCGTGGAAACAGGCTATTAAAAGAAAACCACTCTTGCCTCCCTCCCCACACAGTGCACCTTCTAGCCCTTTGCAAAGCAAGTAGCCTGTCTTTCAAAGTGGATGGGGGGAGGGGGTAAGTGTATGCCACCTCCTCCCTCCCATCGCTGCCTAAAACCAGGGTCTCTCACCTCCAGCTTCAAGGGTTCTCATCTGTTGTGACCTCTGAGCTCACTCCGTCTTTGTGGCCTGACCAGGGGAATGGGTTCTTTCATGGAAAGTCTGACTTCTAGCCCTGGTGCATGCTGCCTCACTTGCTGCTGGTCTCCTTGACAACCTGAGCATGTGCTGTCACGGGAGCCAAGGGGGCCGGCGGGGGGGGGGGGGGGGATAGCTCCACGGTGATGTAGCAGGATGCGTCCCGGTAACACGGGACGAGGATTTGAGCTGGTTGGCTTGAATACCAGGTCTGCACTCCCCTAAGGAGGAGGGATGGCGTGCCGCCACGATCAGCCCCTAAAGATTGAATGAAGTACGCTTCGCTCTGGGGGGTAGAGCTGTTTGTGTCTCTGTGTCTGCAGCGTTTTCTTTCCTGAGAGTGTCTGTTCTGTGACGGTTGCATCCCTAAGAAATGTCAGGCAATCAAAGATAACGTCCATGGGGAAAGTGGTACTGGGGTGTCATACTCACAGAAACAGCTGTGCGTGGCGCCAGCACCGGCCTGTGGTCTCCGTCACTCTGCGGCCACCGCCAGGACCAGTCATCGTCAGCACGGCCCACCCGTGATCCCTCGTTAACGGATCCTGTTGTATTTCATTTGGTTACACAGAGTCTTACCATCTGGGGGGGATTAAGACTGTTGGCTAGATATATTAGCCAGGATTTGGGCCTTCAATAAGTATTTATAGAGCCCATCTCTGTTGCTAGTTCTTCTGATGTAGGGGGAGGCGGACGCTAATGATAAAATCACACACAGTACCCAGCTCATAGCAGGCAGCCATAAGCAGTGGGGGGAGAGATTAGTCAGCCATCATGGTGCAGCTGTAACAAGTGTCCTGCAGTGGGGCCCAGGGCGCGCTGAGTGCTTAGTGTGTGTGTAGGGAGGGAGGGGCAGGGTCTGGGAAGGTTTGCCTCAGAAAGTGACATTTGAGCTGAGATCAAGACCTGAGGGAGCAGAGCTCTAGGCCTCGGCTTGTGCAAGGACCCTGTGGCTCCTGGAACGATAGCACAATGAGAACGTGAGGGCTGCCGTGGCTGGTGTAGAAACTGTGAGGACTTTTACTGCTCAGCAAAGGAGAAAGCACAGTGCTGGGCACTTGGTGGAGATCTGCGAGTGAACCGAAGCTCCCGAAGTGAGATGGACAAGCTGTCCCACTGAGGTCTGGCTACTCCCGAAGGAAGGGAGGGCTGTGGGAAGGCATGTGTCCCAGGGTGCCCTGAGGATCCAGCTGGGCTGAGGCTGAGGCTGAGGCTGCGGTGGCCTCTGCTTACAGTGGCGCTGACGGTGTCTTCCTGGCCTGCATTCTTAGCTTCCCAGATGAGCCCCTCTGGAAGCAGTCAGCTCCCCTGTGTGCTGCCCGAGATCAAAGGGGCAGACCCTCCCCGCACACCTGGCGGAGAAGCAGCATCCCGCCTCGTGCCCAGGGCCTTTCATCTGTCAGCCTCCAGCCCTCCACGCACAGCAATGAGCTCTCAAGGCCTCAGCCTCTCTGGCAGCACCGTCATCCCTCTCTTACAGCCAGGCACATGGCAAAACAAAAAATCCCATTGCTCACCAGGTTATTTATCTGTGGCAGCAAGGAAGGGCCACAGCCCCAGAAGGCTTTGAGTTTTTAGCTTGTAAAAATACATGTATGTGAACTGATAGCTTCTTTCCTACAGCAGAGTCAGAACAGGGCTCCCCTGGGGGGGGGGGTGGATGGCCCCCTGTTCAAACGCAGCCAGGGGGCTGGCTCTGCTCTGTCAAAGCTCACTTCTCAAGACCAGCCTCCAAAAGCAGTTTCATTCCTTGCCCATCACTCTGAGCAGGACATGCAGAGACACCTGGAGAGTTTGCAAATCAGTCACACAAGCTACATGGAAAATAAACCAAATCTAAGCCAGGGTGGATGATGTTTTATTAATGCTGAACAAAGCTCTACATCTGAAAACGCTGGTGAAAAAACAATCCCAATAATTCATCTTTCCCCTTCCAAGAGACAAACAGTGAGGCAGACGAGGACAGGTGGCGGGGTTAACTTGTGAAATGGACAGAATCACATTGCTGGTCGTCCGGTCGATGAATGTGCTGGGCGATGGGTTCTTCTCCACGAAGAGTTCGATAAAGTGAGAATCCAGTGCGGTAATATCCACACACAGGAAAATATTCTTCTTGAGTTCTGATTCAACGTGGCAGAAATTTATGGTCCGCTCAGTATGCAAGGCACGCAGGCGTCAGCCTCCCCCCTCGCAGGGCTTCCGCCCTAAGACACGGGCCCAGGCGCTGCCACCCAAGTGGCCACGTTGAGCTGGAAATAAGAGAGTGTAGCCTGAGAAAAATCTCTCTCTCTCTCTCTCTCTCTCTCTTTCATTTTTGTTCTTACTGAGGAAACTCTCCTAAAGATATAAAACTGAAGTTCACAGTCAGTTGTACTGATGAGGAGTGCATTTCTTACAGGGGGCAGGATGCGAAGGGCTCTGTGAATGTAGACCTATTGTGCGCACTCTCTGATAAGAGCAGGGTCCAGGGAGGGAGGCAGGCAGCACTCACAGGGCAGGGCCACCAGCACGCGCCATCCCAGCAGCTGGTCTTTCGGAGCCCTTCCTCATGCTGCCACTGGTTTTGTTTTCTATCTCATTTGGGTTTCTTTCACACTCTCAAAAAAATTAATTACACAAGTAATACGCGGCCTTAGGAGAAAAATCAGAAGCCAACCAGCAGAAAGCACGGTGATAAAAATCACTATCATCCCACACTCAGATCACTGGATACCTTGGTATCCACCCTTCAGGACTGTTGAACAGAAAGGGGATCGTCCGCTATGCACCATTTTTACAATCTGCTTTGTTTCTCTGGTGCTAATTTTTCATATTATTTGAAGTCTCTTTGCCCTTCGCGCCTTGATGTTTCCACTTGTCAAATAAGCTGGTTATATAATTTTGCTGTCATTCACTTCTTCACCCATATCCACCCATCTATCCATCCATCCATCCATTGTGCACCTGAGCCAGGTGCCAAGGAGACAGTGGTGAATAGAGCCATGTCTGCCCTGCCTGCTCTCACAGTTCAATGCGAGAGACAAGGAGAAACAAATAAAGCTTAGAGCCCTCACGGGTTTGGCTCAGTGGATAGAGCGTCAGCCTGCGGACTCAAGGGTCCCAGGTTCAATTCTGGTCAAGGGCATGTACCTTGGTTGTGGGCACATCCCCAGTAGGGGGTATGCAGGAAGCAGCTGATCGATGTTTCTCTCTCATTGATGTTTCTAACTCTCTCTCCCTTCCTCTCTGTAAAAAAAATCAATAAAATATATTTTAAAAGAAAGAACGAAAGCTTGGAGGAGGAACAGAAAAGCTTAGAGGAGGAACAGACCAGAAACAAGGGAGCAAGCAGGGTGGGTGCTGTTTCAGGCAGGTGGACATTAGTGGGCACCTGTTCTGTGTACAGTACTTACACACTTTGCCCTTCAGCCTCACAATTCTTCAGGATCATGCTATTATCCTCATCTTACGGACGCCTTAGCTGAGGCTCCAAAAGGGTCAGCACTTGCTCAAGGTCACACAACCACTGATGTGAGCTCAGATCTTTCCCGTCCCTGAACCTGTGCACCTGCCTGGGCCCCAAGCCCTGCTCCTCTCTCCACCTCCTGGGCGAGGATGCTCTTTAGGATGGGTATTGCCCATGGTGCTGGCGGAGGGAGGAAGTCCTTGGCAGAGATGCTAGCAGGAAGGTTTTGTTTGCCCTGGGAACGGGGACCACCTTGAATATATTATACGAGGCCTAAGGAAATACCGAAGAGGAATTGGCCAGGGGCCAGGGCTGGGGTGGGGTGGTCTTCCGTACCTTGTGAAGGCTCCGTTATCTGCAGAGGCACTCCTGTAATGTGATAGCCACATTATGGATGACTTTATTCTGATTGTTCCTGAGATCCCAGTGTTTGAACCCGCTGTAGAAATCAGACCTAGATCCGGAAGGAGAGAGACAAATCATCTGTGCCTTCCCGGACACACGCTTTCATTTTATAGAAGTGGAGGCTGAGACCCAGAGGTTCAGGGACTTTCCCAGGGCACCCCCCACCCCACCCCAGGCGCGCATGCGCGCTCTCTCTCTCTCTCTCTCTCTCTCTCTCTCTCTCTCTCTCTGTCCCAGAGTGGGAGGGCTGTCAGCCCTTCCTCCGCCTCCCCTCTCCCCCCTGTTCTCGGAGCAGCGCTAATGTCCCGCTAATGGTTTTAATGGTCCTCCCAGCCGCGTGTGAAGTGGTGCAACGGCTCCATTGTTTAAGCCCCGTGATGGAGGCGCTTACTTGC